CCCCCCACCCTAAGAAGACAAAACCAATTTCTTCCTGCTCTTAAGAGGTATCAGAGAAGACACCCAACAGCGCCTTCGACAGACGGGACAGTCAGACTGTTCGTAACACACCGACCTCCTCCCAAAAGTGGGGGTTGAGATATCAAAGCTCGCTCCAGTCCTGGTTTCTGACCGAGGCAAAATTTCCTTTTTGCAGTGACGGCTACACCGACAGGTGTCTTTTCTACACGGGGGAATCCAGGCAACTCCGGCGTCAAGCTGGGCGTGTTTTTGTAGCCTGCATGTGCAGATATTAACTTCATCTTGCACCTCATCCTGTAACTGAAGCTGAAGAAGACATCTGACGTACTACGCTACTTCTGTAACAGAACACCATGTGTGCGTCTGTTTGAAAGGTTTATTTCTATCTTCATAAATACATCATTTCCTAAACACTGTGCAAGGCACCAAAAAATTAAGTAAAATCTTTTCTTTTAGAGCATTTTAATCTCTTTTGACTCAACGAAGTAAATAAGAATCTGAAACTACCTATTTGCCAATTACAAGCCAGCAGTTAAGGCAGGTACCATCGATACAGTGCATGATTTTCTATTGCAGGTATTTAAACAAGCAGCGTTTTACTACAGAAGTGCATATACAAACTGAACTCCAAACACCAGCAACCCAAGGTAGGCACCCAGTTATGAAATTTCCTTGTATGTGTAGTAGAATGCCAAAAGTTCTGCCATAAAGTGCAAAGACTACGGACAATAACACCTTCTTTTTGAGCGTTTGGATACCGGTAACGTAATACAACAGCTAAACATTTATAAATGTGGTTTCCGTTACAAAAAAAACATGTTCCACGTAAAAGCCTCATAATACAACCCAGAAAACAGAACTTGTGCGTGTACATATTTAAAAAGTCGAAGCTGTACTGGCATACTCAGGTACCGGGTATATATTTGCTGACCTCTGCGGACACGCACTGACTTTATGACCAATTTACACGTACAGTCAAAATCATTCCGCTTTGAGCACCGTGATATCCACTGAGGTTTTTTTTCCATTTTGAGTGACGATGTGCGACATCCGCCCTGGCGATCTGCAACCAAGCATTGCCTGTGAGACGATCGGGTGCACAGCTCTCACCCAGCCCTCCCTCCCCGGGAAACGGAACCTAAAATTAGTGTCTTCCCAACACGAGCACATGTCAGATGTGGACAAATACATTCATGGTCCCCAACTTAAAACAACTGGTAAGAATTTCACAGTGATCTGGTTAAGGAAGCACAAAGACAAATGATTACGTTTAAGATGAAAATTGCCTTAAAACTCGAATGAAGCTAAACTGATATACGATGAGAAGCTAAAGGAACAAAGTATTAACCAATTAGAAAAGTGGCTCGTTCCCAACTAATAACAAAAAACCTACAGCGATGAACTTAGGGTCCTACTGCTGCAGCAGCCTTTGAGGTAGGTGGCGATGGCTTAAACCGAGGTAGGTAAAGTCCAAACTTGTTTTCAATCCCTGCAAAAGTGGCAACTGCCAATTTATAACCACCGACGTGGTCAGGGTTAGGCGCAGGGAGCGTGATCCTAGATTTAGGAACTGGCTCGGATCCAGCTGGTTTTCTGCAAAACAATAAAGATAATAAATTAGTTAAGTAGTAAGATAATAAACTAATTAAGTGATTAATTAAGAGTAAGACCAGTACTCGCACGAATCTCCTCCATAAAGCAAGCTGAACGCGACATCTGAGTGCACCTCCCACCAAGCTACTAACTAAACTTACAGTGAAATGAGAAACACCCTGTTCTAAAACCTTTCGGAACTGCTGGGAGCCTTCCCGTTGATTGAGCATCATCAACTCCAGATCCAATTTGTGGTGCGTTAATTGAAACTGCAGTGGTGGGGAGCAGGGCTTCCTGACCAGCCCAGGAACCTCGCACACCACAAGTCGTTTTGGTGGCTGCTTTCAAACGGTATCTACAAGCAATAGCTACAAAGCCTTTGTGACACGTCCTCGGCAACAGCAAGACCCCGACTCCCACGTGTCGAGGAGCACCAAGACCCAGGCAAAGCCAAGTGCAGCCTCAGCGTCCCGGGCAGGTTCACAGAATCACAGAATCACAGACTGTTCGGGGTTGGAAGGGACCTCTGAAGATCATCTAGTCCAACCTTCATCCCAGCACACCCAACCACTACACCACAGCCTCAAGTGCTAGATCTACTGTTTTTTTAAACACCTCCAGGGTTGGTGACTCCACCACCTCCCTGGGCAGCCTGTTCCAGTGCCTCACCACTCGTTCAGGAAAGAACTTCCTCCCAATATCCAATCTAAACTTACCCTGACGCAACTTGAGGCCATTTCCCCTTGTCCTGTCATTAGTAATTAGAGAGAAGAGACCAGCACCAGCCTCACTCCAGCCTCCTTTTAGGTAGTTGTAGAGGGCAATAAGGTCTCCTCTCAGCCTCCTCTTCTCCAGACTAAACAAACCCAGCTCCCTCAGCCGCTCTTCATAGGGCAGGTTTTCCAGACCTCTCACAAGCCTTGTTGCCCTTCTCTGCACCCGCTCCAGCACCTCCATGTCCTTCTTGTACTGTTCAGGCATTGCATACTTACACTCCGCCAAAATCCACGTAAAACCATCTCTGCAGTAGCTCGTACGTCACCAGAGTGACACCAAACTGAGGAGAAGATCGGAACACGCGAGCTTGAAAGAGAAGAAAAGAGTTCCTAAGTGACGAACCCCACCGCTGGGAATCGCGGGGCGATCAAAGCTCTCGTACACACCTCCTGCTCCTTTCCAGAGAGCCTTGGGACCTTCCTCTCGCAGGATCTTCGCAAAGCAGTCCACCACGCCGCTGTAGGTGGTCTGTCCCGCGCGGGCTGCCACCTGCAGCCTTGTTTTGATGACATCCGCGGGGGTCACCAGCGAGGCTGCGGGCATACCTACGCGACAGCAAAACCATCATCAGGGGGGCGCGCGCCGTTCGTCCTCACGCGAGGAGAATCCAGTCACAGAATCACGGAATTGCTGAGGCTGGAAAAGACCTTTGAGCTTGTCAAGTCCAGCCTGTGACCCAGCACCCTCACATGGGCCAGACCAGGCACTAAGTGCCACATCCAGCCTCTCCTTAAGCCCCTCCAGGGACGGTGACTCCCCCCTGCCCTGGGCCGTGCTCGCTCAGCAAGGCCGGAGAGCTCAAGTTTAGAATCCAGGGTGGTTCTTCCCACCAGGGATGGCAAAGCCGCAGCCGGCGTCCTCAGCAGAACACTTGGGAGGAAGATTTAGATTTACCCTGGCAGATAATCAGCTGGAAGCAAAAAAAATACCAGATTACCAAAGGGTGGTATTTCAAAAATCATCCCTATCCAAACTGGGGCTGCCCGTGTTTAGAACTGAAGGAAAAAAAACAACAACTTAAAAAAAGGCCAAAAAAAGCTCACCAAGACTGCACCCAGAAGACACCGTCTCTTATGGGTTTATTACTTTTCCATTCTGCATCTGTTCCAAACCAACTTGGTCAGATGTAGATGCATAAATCTCCTTTGCTTTTTTTTTTGCTTTGTTTTGGTTTTTTGGTTTTTTTAGGCTTAATAATTCTGTTACAACTTTGTCCAAACCAGCACGGTCTGGCTTCGAGCACCAGAGCACTCTTCCTGCAGATTGCTCCGAGCGTGTGCGTTATCCCCAAAACAAGAACCCCAAAAATAAGGCACACGCAGAACTTGCGCAGTGGTCAGTCTGGTAGGTAAGTACTAAAACCCAGTAAGGCCTCCAAACTCCAGAAATGTCAAAATTCCTCTTTGCTTAGCCTTACCCGCACCAGGATACTGGTTGAGCCTTTAATTTAAAGCTGGACTTCTGTCCTTCAAAAGCCAACCAGTGTTTTCAAGGAAACCCAAAGGACGTACTTAGAACCAATTCTGCTTACTACGTGTTGACTTGCACCTCCTTATTCCTCGTCCCTTATTATTCGGGATATTCTGCAGTTCAAGATGGTTTTAAACCCCATTTTTAGGAGCTGGGTGTACAGGACAAAAGACCTCACAGACAAATAAAACTCCACAGGCTGCTGCTGGGAGGAGCTTCCGAAAAAAATGAGACAAATGGCGCAGCAGGAGCTGGGGATGAAGGAGTGAGGGGAGCAGTAGGAAATTTGTGGAGGCAATAAGCAGATGGAGCAGATGAAGGAGAGGTCCCACAGCTGATACGAGAATCATCCCCAAAAATTAGGGATGTGGAGTTTCCCTTGCTGAGCACATCTGAGGCTCAATGCCCAGGCAGGACCCCCGGCCAGAGCAGAGACATGGTTCCTGAGACCGATTCTGCACTTCAGAAGTGCTGGGGTTGGAGTTTTTTTTCCTCCCCTTGGCTTTCTCGTGGCAAAACAGCGGACACATACGCCCCCACCACGCCTTACTTGAACCCAATGGAAGAAATTCCTTGGTTCTGTAAATGGTTACGGTGAGTGTTGTGTCTTTAACGCTGTAATTAGCTCCTGAGAGTTAACCCAGGATGGGATTCACAGGAAGCACTGGGTAAAATTCACATTATAGCTAGTTTGCTAGGCCATATCAGCAACAATAAAGACTGCTTCTGTGCCTGAACTTCAAAGGGACGGTTATCTCAGTCTGCAATCGCCTGACAATGGCTAGAAAGAGAAAAATAGGAAAATCTAAGAAATGACTTGGCTTAAAAATGCCAGCTTATATTTCATGTCTGTAAATATGATCTAAAGTTCAGAAATTGTTTTGTTCCATTAAAATGGGTGAGAAATAAGCCGGCGGTAAGGTCCTGTTGGGGGTTTGGAGGCTGGCTGCAGTCTGGGGTTGGGGGAAGGGAGAGGACGAGGGGTTTTTAAGCACCAGCCAGCTGAACACAGCTGGTTTTCCTAGGGCCAGGGGGATTCCAAGTCACCGAAGGCAGAGCAAATCCAAAGAGCTGAAGCTATAGGCTTCCACAAGAAAGACGAATCGATCTGCACTGTCAGGCTTTGGCTCTGTCCTAAGCCCAGATACCGGTCATAAAAGGCCACTGGCTCCTCAAGGGACACAGCCCCGAGTGTAACGCTGACCCAGAAGTTTCCCCAAGAGAGGAGAAACCTTAAAATGAAATAAGAAACCACAGCCCCTGTGACAAGCCAAGTGTGATTTGGCTCTTCTATCCACTAGGCAGCAGATTAAAACAAGTGCTCAAGATGACGCCCAGCATCTCCGTCATACCTGGACGCACCAGGAACTGGCAAAGTGTGGCCCAACGGAAATGTCTTCCAGCTTTTGCTTAATGTAAAAAAAAATAACGGTAACGTCCTCACGAAGCCAAGAGACTGTAGCAAGTGACTGTCATTGTGTTATCACAGGCTGTGTCATTATGTTTGGAGAGCTGCCTTCTGGGCTCCACAAACCAAAACTCAAGATTGATTCGATCGTAAAGAATTTCACAAATATAGATAAAATATAAAGATAGATTTTATCTATAAACCACTTCAGCACAAGTTTACCCGCCAGCCAGCAATGCACACGTAACTTGGAAAGAAAGATGTTAAATGATGGTGAAATATCAGCACCTCAATCCTTCCCTTTGTTTCTGCCTCCCGAACGTCGTGATAACACCAGGAACGAACAATATTTTTATTTTTAACATCAACTCACTCTACAGCACGGCAGCTTTCTGGGCAGAAGCTTGCACAATGTATGTAATTCTGAGCTTTGCAAAGTTCTCGCTGCCGTAACCGTGGCGCTGCAGGTGCAATAAAGCAGCATGCAAAAAAAATTACGGGTACTCACCAGCTATGGATCCAGCCAAGAGCAGATTCCCCGGGCTAACCCTCCCGTCCTCATTCGTAAACGAAGCTTTCAAGTGAGCGTAACAGGGGAAGTAAATGGCAGAGAAGGGGATGTCACGCAAAAAGCAAGCCTTGGCACCCTGTGTGGAAAAAAGAGAACAAATCTTGAGAACGAGCAAATTTAACTAAGAACCCCAGAGAACAAGGCAACGTTGTGGGTTGGGTTTTTTTTTTAATTTATTTTGTTGCAAAGGGTATGTAGAAAAGGCAATTCCTTCTCTGATAATTTTAAGAGATCCATGTATTTCACCCTGTCGAGGAGTGTCTGTGTATTGCTTCTCGGGTCAGTAATTCCTGTCACTGTACTTATCTTGTCCAGCTGTTCTACCTCACTCCCTAGCACCGCAGTTCTTCGCTAGTAATAGAGAAAATGTCACGTATTGGAGTAAACTCTGACATCTTTGCACCTGCAGTGGGAATTCAGGATGTGTCTGAGGAAGACTTGAGCCACAGGACAGGTCTGTTCCCTCTTATTCCCACTTACAATAAGTACTTCAGGGAAAACAGTGGCCAGCCCATGCATCTATACAGACATTGCAACTGGGAATGGAACGTACCTGGGAAGGTTTTAACGAGCTGTTCATCCTTGGGGGGGTGTGGAACCAGACCTGCGCAGGACTTTTCTACTCAAAACCCCCTTTATGGAGATTAGCGAGTACCAAAACAGCAAAAATTGTTTATGAAAGGCTGAAAGGGAGCCAAAATCAAACGCGACAGTGGGAGACTGCGACCACCGACTCAATTCAGGGCGCCAAAAACTCGCCCCCCCACACCCGCACGGAGCACGCGTGCGAATTTACACAAGGGATAAAGTTAATTTTAATATACTGACCCAGTGGCGAACGCAACCGCTATCCCTAACCATCACTGTAGAGTAAGTTACAACATAAATATGTCGCAGTTTTTTGATGGGGGTATCCTGGTTTCATCCAGCATCCAAACTCGGCCAACTTTGCTAATAAACCCATCAGCTTCCTACATCAACATTCGCTTTAGAGAGTTCGTTCTTCGCAGTCGCTGCTTTCGGCAACACTTTCAAGTGAGCTTCAGCTCTTACTGTTACCTTTGCCTGTGTCAGTTCTGGAAGTGGTACAAAGAGCCGACGCAGTTACCAGCAATGCAGCCGGCTTCAAACCTAAGAGGGTGGCAAACAGGCCAGGAAGGTTTTGGGGTAGCAGCAATTAATCAAGCATGGCCAAAAAAAAACCAAAAAAAAAGGGGAGGCAAATGAAAAAATTCGAAATAATATTCATGTTCCAGCTAGAAGATCGACTTGCAACCTGCCTTTCCTTGATGGATAAATCCGGAGGACACCAGAGCCCGAACACACCAGGGCTGACACCAGCGGGAGGTGGCTTTGGAAAAACCGGCAAAATCTTCCCATCTTGAGAAAGAAATGGGTTTGTGGACAAGCATAAAGCTCTGCTCTTTGAAGCGAGGCTGGAGCTGCGGTGAAATTGCTTGAGTTTGCTTGAGGGTCACCCGCGAGCCCCCCGGGGCGCCCTTGTTACTGTCCTTCTCCTGAGTGCAGGTCTGCCGGGGGACACGGCTCAGTGCCAGGCGCTTCGCAGGGGACATGCTAATATCCACAGAATTTAATTAAATCTAACGAGACACCTGGGCACATCTCTAAGCTTAGCTTGTGCCGTAACAGCAGTTAAACCCCAGTGCTTATCCGAGTGGGTGTTGGTGACCAAGGGAAGACACAAGAGCTGCAAAAAAGGTCGGGAAAAGTGAGCGGTTGCCTTTCAGCGAGGCGGGGCAGGGCGCGGGATGGGAAGAGCCGGGCCCTCGGGAGCCAGCTCGCAGGAGATGCTGGGACGTGTAGTTTGCGGTCAGAGAACGCCCTTGAGAAAAATAAAGATTTATCTAAAACCAGCCGTTAGGTCTTGTAGTGCCACTTTCTGTGTGTCACGGGCACAGTTACGCGAGGACAAGGCGTTCGGCTCCAAGCCCAGCTGTTTCCCACCACATTTTCTCAGCTTATTTGTGGATGGCTCCAGACTGAGAACCGACAGGGTTATCAGCCACGGGACCAGGCTCTGCTGGGCTGGATTCTCCGCTCAAAATTACCTGCAAAGCCCAGACACTTTCCCTTGAGGGCCCAGAGAAGGTGAATCTTTTGTATTCACCAGAGACCCAAGAATTCCATCCTCTTGAGCGCAACAGAAGCCCGTTTTACCGTTTACTTTTAATCTTTGCAGAAAAAAGACCAAGGTTTTACCAAGTTCTGTACAAACCCCCAACATTTTAACGCTCAAATGTCTGCATTTACCTCACAGCAAAACAAAGCTCACTAGTGAAACATTCTTGGACCAACAGGGCACACGACTTTTATTTTCTTCGCAAGGCTGTCATTAAACACTGCACACGTTTTTTCCTCCGCGTTTTTTCATACTCTGAAATATCTCGACGTAGCTGAAATAATTTACGAGAAATCGATACAGCTCAAAACGTGAGCACCTCTTAACCCGAGCTGCTAATATTTCTCTCCCTTCATTAAAAAGCTTTTTTTTTTTCCCCACAGGGCAGAAATGACATATTATTAATATCACTAATAACGTACGTGCAGGTAGGCAGAGAGAGGGAGGGATGTCCATCGACTTAGTTGGCTCAGTGTAAACAAAACCTGGATCAAAACTTGGATCCACTTTAATAACAACCCAGCTTGGCTTCGCTCCAGCATCGGAACAGTCTAAAGTTTCCCCTCATCGTCCCGTTTAAAGGCTGGGAAAGCATGTTTAAAAGAGCCTTCATTTACCTTCAAGTTAATCATCCGCAACCAGCCTGGGCCAATTAGGAAGGCTTAGGGAGATTGGCCGCGGGATCCCGAAAAGCGAAAGAAACATTTATTTTCCTTCTCGCACCTTTTTTTTTTGATGTGGACAACGTGCTGAAAGCCAAAAAGGAGGTTTAATCAATCCCCAGGCAAGCTGTTAGGGATTATCTGCCCCAGTTTTTATTCTGGCAGCCAAGGTCCAGGCATGAAATTGTCGGCGGATGCCAGGCGTGAAATTGTCGGGCGATCCTACGCGCCGCTCCTCGCACAACAGCCGCTTGGCTCCCATCTCCCAGCTCTTTAATAACCTTAAAGCTCTTCATCTCGGATAGTATCTCACTGAAGAAACCAGCGGAGGGGAGAGAGGAGGGAAGGAAAACCCAACAACCAACCCCGGTTGTCAAAGATTCGCCTAACTAAGCCCAAGTCAGTCAAAGATTCGCCTAACTAAGCCCAAGTCAGTCAAAGATTCGCCAAACTAAGCCCAAGTCAGCGGCGGGCAGGTTCTTTAGCATGCTAATTCCTGCTTCTACCAGCTCTACCTGCAAATAAGGCTCTAAACAAACTATTTCTACTCCAAGGGGAGGGTAATTATACTGACAAAGGCACCTCTGTGTCGGGTTGGGCAGAAGGAGCCGGCAGGTCTGGGAGAGCCCAGGCTCCCGCCGTGAATGCGCATTGTCTGGGGCAGGGGGAAAAATGCCAAAAAAACTGGGGGGACCTCAAGACAACAGTGGTGCACCTTGTCTGGGAGGGTTATTTAATGCTTCTGGCACCTGTACTTACAGCCACCCCCCTCTTGTTCCCCTTTACAGGTTTAGAATTTATTTGGCATGTATAATTGTTATTTTGATCCTATAGCTGCAAACAATAGGCAGCATGTCATTTCTTGATCATTTTGCATTCTTCTTGGGTTTTACTCTGGGCTTAACCCTTTGGAATCGGAGCCCTACCGGCACCTCACGGGTTTTGTAACAGTCACTCAGATATTACCGGCATTTCAACAGGCTGATTTTTTTTCCTGCCATAAAATGACACTGCCTTAAAAGCTGCTACAGGTTTTTTTCACATATATTTATACCAACCAAAGGATGAAACTGATTTAGCGCATCGAGTTAGAGGAATGAAATGCTGATTTCAAATACTGGGCCAGCAATTCATATTAAGTTTGGAGAAAAAGTTATAGCACTTCTTAGTTGGAAGGTTTTTTGTTGGTTTTTTTTTATTTTCAAAGAAAATTTCTGAAGAGCAGGTTCTCATGTCTAAGAACACAATGACTAACAGGCACAGTGGATGCAAATCCATGTAACTCTAAATTTTGTTACGTGTGTTTATCATCCTGCTGTAAACCCTCAAGTTCAAGAGGTGAAATACCTCAGGTGTTACCAAAGCAACCAGGTGTGATCTTGGTACACATCCTGTCACCTGGGATTACACTTTCCAGGTCAACACAGCAGAAGCCTGTTTATGAGGTTGTCACAAAAAAGAAAACAGAAAAAAAAGAGAAAAGAGAAAAAGAGAGAGAGAGAAAGATAGAAAGAGAGAAAGAAAGAGAGAAAGAAAGAGAGAAAGAAAGAGAAAGAAAGAAAGAAAGAGA